GCGTTGCGCATATACCGGGACAAGGTCTCCGGAGCCGTGAGACTCCAGGCATCCGTCCACAAGGGGGAGATGAAACGGTATGATGCCGATCCACAGATCATGAAAAAAGCTAACTGGTTTTTAGAGCTCCTGTGTGGACTGCCTTTATCACTCAGTACCTCGGGACGCGCAGCTGGGTCCGCCGTCCGGATTCCAAGGTGGTTGTGCTACGTGAGCTCCGTCAGACCATCTTCATGTTCGCGGCGGATTATACCCCGCAGAAGACGTCGAGGGGGGAGCATATCTTGCAATTTACGAATCGTGCTGGTAAGTCTTTTTATCTCAGGGTCCGTACGGAATACTGACGGCTGTAGATGCCCAAGGTTTCGTAGAGACCATCGCAGAGCTGGCGAGTACTCGCTAGAATTATCGCAGTGAGACCATTACGGACGAACTTGATGACTAAAATATATACCCACGATTTATGTGCCATGACCGTCATGAGAAATGATCATTTGAGCGGCTTATTTGCCTTGTTGATATATCCATTTGGGAGGTATTCGCTTCTCTGGCGTTGAATGTTGCAAATAGGGTATCATAATGTACAGCAAAGTTATAAAATACAAACTCCCATATCTAGGATGCGTCCGCCTGCAGAGCACCCAGATCTCCCAGCCCAGCCAGAAACGTCTCCGCCCTTCTCTTAGTTCGTAGCTCCTCAATCTGCCGCCTCCTCTCGTCCTTCACCCGTTGTCGCTCCGCCCGCCTCGCCTGCCTGGCCTCCCGCTCGCGCTGCGTCTCTTCCCGCGCACTCATCAGCTCCTCCATCTGCTTCCTCCGCGTCTCCTCATCCTTGGCAAACGCATAGAAGGCCGTCCCGCGGTTCCGCACCTCCGCATCCGCATCGTAGTGCGTCTCCTCCGGCGGCGTAGGCGACCGGTCCCGCCGCGCAGCAAGCGACGCCATCTGCTCCGCCGCAGACGACGACGGGTTGAACGCCTCCGCCTGCACCGCAGCCCCGTAGATCAGCTTCTCCGGCCGCGCAGGCCGCCACCGCTCCGGACCCCCACCTTCCCCGCTCTCTTGCGCTTTAGCTAACGCAGCACGCGCCGCTTCGGCCCTCGTCCCGCGACGGGTCCGCCCGAGCTCGTCTTCATACGAGACGATCGACGCATTGTCGTCGGCCTCGGCCTCTTCCTCGTCCCCGTCGGAATCAGAATCATCTGAACCCCTCGCTCGCTGCGCATCAGCCCACTTCCGATCGAAATCCACCAGCCCCTCCTTCTCCTTCCGACGGAGTCGTGCCAGGTAATCGTCCCCGCCCGTGTTGGCGTCCGCCTCGTCATCGCTATCGCCCGCGAGGTAAAGCCCGCTCTTGAGATCCTCGTACAGGCGCGCCTTTTCCTCCAGCCGCCGCTTGGAGCGGTGCAGGGTGGCGGCGTCGACGGCGCCGATGTCAGCGGTGCGCTTGTGGATCTGGCGGACGGAGGGTTCGGTTTCGTCATCGCGGAGGTCCGCGGCGGCGCGTTTCTGGGCGCCTTTGTTGTGGACGGCGAAGATGTCTGATTTGGAGGATTTGGAGGGTCGAGGGCGGCCGCGGGCGGGCGACTCGGTGCCTTTGGTGATGAGGGTGGAGAGCTGCGTGGTGAAGGCGAGGGTGGAGGCGGAGGGGGCGGTTGATTGGGAGGAGGGTTTTTGACTATGTCGGGGGAGGCCGTAGAGGGATGGATTTGTGTTTGACATTTTGTGATGTTGGCTGGTGAGCTGTTGATCGGTTACTTCTGAGAAGATGAAGAGCAGTAATGTTGTACTCCGTATGTAGCTAAAGTCGATGTCGATTAGATAACCAGTCTATGCCTCAGGCACCACTCCGATAATCGCTGCCCCGCGACTCCACGATTAAAGCGTTGGCTTCTGCTTTTGTGATTCATCTCTGCTGTCTCTGTTCCTGTTTATTCTCTGCTGAAAAGTTTCTTGGAATTGTTGCACTGTCTATATCCATTCTGTCACAAAGCTCAAGAATTCCCAACCATTGACCATGTCTAACATCTATCTCGGTGTCATCGGTGAGTATCCCACCTCGCTACACCGGAGTACTGACTCACGCTCACAATAAATGCATTTGCAGGCGTCGGTGGTGTTGGAACCGCATTCCTGAACCAACTCGCCCGTCTCCCCAATGCCCCCAAGCTGATCCTCCTCGCCCGCTCAACACAGACGCTTCTGGCCCCGACACCGGCCTACTCCCCCGCCATCCCCGCTGGTGACTGGAGGGCGGCCGCCGAGTCCCCCTCACTCACCAAGTCGGGTGCTCTGTCCCCTGAAGAGATTGCTTCCTATCTTTCCTCCGCTCCCGGCCGCTCCATCCTGGTCGACAACACCAGCGACCCCGCACTGGCCAGCTCGTACCCAGTCTTCCTCCGCAAGGGCATCTCCATCGTCACCCCGAACAAGAAGGGCTTCTCTTCCGACCTCTCGCTGTGGAAGGAGATCTTCGCCGCGGCGGCCGAGGGCAAGGCGCTCGTCTACCACGAGAGCACCGTCGGTGCGGGGCTCCCCGTCATCTCGACGCTGCGCGATCTCGTCGCAACCGGTGACGAGGTCACCCGCATCGAGGGCGTGTTCTCCGGCACGCTTTCCTTCCTCTTCAACACCTTTGCCCCCGTCTCGGGCGACTCCAACGCCAAGTGGAGCGAGGTGGTCGCCCAGGCCAAGGAGCTGGGATACACCGAGCCCGATCCGCGCGATGACCTGAACGGCATGGACGTGGCGCGCAAGCTGACCATCCTGGCGCGCATTGCGGGTCTCGAGGTCCAGGGCCCGGACGCCTTCCCCATTGAGTCGCTGATCCCCGCCGAGCTGGCGGCGCTGCCTTCCACCGCGGACGGCATCACTCAATTCATGACCGAACTACCTAAATTTGATGCACAGATGGCGGCCATCAAGGAGGGAGCCGAGAAGCAGGGCAAGGTCGTGCGGTATGTGGGGAGTGTGGACGTAGCGAAGAAGGAGGTGCGCGTTGGGCTGCAGCAGTTCGACAAGGACAGTGCCATTGCGGGGCTCAAGGGCAGCGACAATATCATCAGCTTCTACACCAAGCGGTACGGAAGCAACCCGCTGATTGTGCAGGGCGCCGGTGCGGGCGGCGATGTCACGGCCATGGGGGTGACGGCCGATCTCATCAAGGTGATTCAGCGATTGGGTTAGATATAGTCCTAGTCCTAGCGAAAATGCATAGACCATCAATCAATCAACGACGTAGAAAGTGCTTGACGGCCTCGCCCCATACAGAACCCCTTTTGTACCAATGCATCCCGGGCACATTGCCCGCCTTCAACCCATCAATCGCCGTCGCCAGCTCCTCGCCCAGCCCTTCGTCCTTGATCGTCTGCAGAGGATACGTATACGTATGGAACGCAAAGACAAGCGCCTTGCTCCGAGGCAGCCGATGCAGCGTCTGCCGCTCACACCGGAGAACCGTCTACAGCTCAGCATAAGCATAAGCATAAGCATAAGCTCAAACACCAAGAGATTGGGCACCGGGAGTACATCACCCACCGAATCCACATCCAACATCCCCGGCTCAATCTCCTCCTTTCCAGCAGCCTTTGCCGACGCCTCCGTCGAGCCATGCACGCCCCCAAACGCAGCAAACAGGCCCGTCTCCGTCGTAATACTCCAGTTCACCCTCGCCACGACCTTCCCCACTTCGACCCGCGCAAAGAACCGATCCATGCTCCGCTCCAGCTTCTCCTTGTACCCAGGGACCGGGTCATGGATGGCCGCAAGCCGCAGCCCGAGTTTCGTGCGCGTGTCGAACCCAGAGGGGAAGTACGCGGTGTACGCGGCCAGGAAATAGCTCTCTTCGCTTTCTTTCTCTGAGTCCTTCCCGCGAGTATCAGGTAGGAGGAGAAGAAAATCCTCGTCGACGGTCTGGCCTAGGATCTCTAGGGCTTTGCGGACTGCCTGCCTCTGGGCCATGTCGATCTCCACGGGGTACGACTTCCCCGTGACCTTATTCTTTACTAATGTTGTGCTGTGGTTCGCCGACACCGACAAGCTAAACATCGTCGGATACCGCGTGGGAAGATACGTCCCCATGACAAAGCCGTACAACTCGCCCACTGCGCGGCGGATCCGCGGATCGGCTTCACCGTGCACGCCGAGCACGACGTCGGGGTACTCCTCCAGTAGAGACGCGCGCAGCGCCATCCGCTCTTTGTAGGTCTTGTCCATTGGGATGAGGTCTGAGATGGGGATGGTGGAGAGGGCTGATTGCGTTAGTTGCAGAGCTTACAGAGGATGGGTGGGTTACTGTGACTGGGGCATACCCATCGTCAAGTGGTATTTTGGCTTGAAGGGCCGGAAGACGAGTGGTTCGGTTGTTTCCCAGTTGAAGGTGGACAGGGGGGTGATGGGGGAGTATCCCGTTTCTGCTTCAGATGAAGTCTCATGTTTGGATGGAATGGTCTGGCTGGTGTTAGTGATTGGAATGAGTAGGATGGCAAGACGGAGACGGACCTTGATCTTGCGATAGTATGCGGATGCGAATGCGAATGCGAATGCGAATGTCCCAATCCCCAGGACTAGGAACAAGATGATGGATGGGTTTCTTTCGAGTTGGAGTCTCCATGACTCGAGGTACTGAAATCCAGCGGTAGACATGACCGTTTATGAGGGGTGACTCGTATCTCGGACATGTCCATGATGCGTCCATAATATACTGTATAGTAGGGAATGAGTCGAGAGGGGATATCATGCCCAGTTGGATATCAAGTTCGGTCTGTGCCGATTGGCGGGGAGAACCGCGGAGTAACACCGACTCGATGCAATCACCGAACGAATCATTATGGGACGATAGTCTAGTGTTATCATCTCAAGCTATGGAGACATTCAATCGGTAGGCTAATAGTTGCATTAGTTGGGCTCTAGAGCTACCCCGTATGCTCACGGAAGTATACATACAGTACAAATATAAACAACCGCCTCAGTAGGCAACAGACCACAAGAACAATAAACATATGGGTATCAATAGAGATGCACAATCAACATCAGAAACAACACAGCAGCATGCGACCACGACGACGAATCAACCACACCTGCATGTCAAACAACAAGCACCACAAGCCACCACCTCACCCATCCGTATCCGTCACCACTCTCTCCCTCCTCTTCACCTCCACCTGCTCACCCACCTCCCCGACGCCCGCGGTATTAACAGCCGGTCCAAGCCCAAACACCCGCCTCGGCACCTCACTCCTCTCACTGACGTTCACATTCAAAGTGGGCCGCCGAGGCCGCTGCATCCCTCTCGCCCGGCCCCCGACGACAGGGAACTCGTACGTCCCCATCCGCCATATATACAGCAGCACATCGAAGACGATCAGCGCCGCCCAGGGGAAGATGGTGACGATGCCGAGGAAGACCTGAACCCGGCCACAACATTAGCATTAGCATTACGTCCACTCAGCGCAGTTCTCAGGAGCGCGTGGGGGAGGGGGGGCAAGGCGTACGAAGATCCGAGCGGCCCAGCTCTCGACGTAGATTAAGTCTGGTGGGAGGATGGAGTACCACGCCATGGCTTTTCTGGAGTTTCTCTGATGTAGTTCTTTTTGTATGTGGACGATGCCGTCTCGTCAGGCGGGGGGAGCATTCGTGCGGAGGGCGAATGCTCAGTAGACGGAGGTGCTGTATAATGAGTTGGACTCGAAGTTAGAGACTCCCCCGCTTACTGCAAAGCATTCGGGGGAGCTAGAGCGAGTGGTAAGATCCTGGCGGATGGCAGGGGTGAGGAAGGCGTTGCGGAGCTCCAGTACTCGGTTTGGTGCGGAGGCGTACGATATCGTCGGACAGGGGTCAGGAGTCAGCGACAGTGACATTAATGTCAAAGTAAGCCTTCAGAAAGCATGCTCACTGAAGAAAACTGCCGGATTGCAGAAAGGGAAAAGGCTGATCTGATTTGATTTCAGGAGAGAAGGAAGCAAAAGTAAGGGAGAGGAGAGCTATCAGGCAGCGGAAGCTGACTTCGCCTCCGCCGTCGGCCCAATCGGGAAAATCGTAAGCATACCATCAAAGTGACATGTTACATTACACCAGAAGACTTCCAGACTCGGTTTATTGATCGCATCCGGAAATATATAGCTGATACTACAGGTGTATAGAGGTATACTCAGGTCATAAAAACGAAAAAGGTCATCCAATGTGATATAGGCGTAAAGTTCGTTAACCCGTGTCAAATGTACAGTCCCACCAACCAAATCTATGAAAATATCAAGTTTATGACGTAACCAAACCATTCAGCTGTACAAATCTGCAACTACCGCGCAGGACGGTAGTGCTCATACGAGGTGAAATTGGGATCGTCCTGCTCAACAGGCCCGTATCCTCCAGTCCGCCATCGGCTCAGGGGAGCAGGTGCGATCTCGCTCGTGCCTGGCACCTGGGCCTGGCTTAGAAGCTGCTGGGAATCGCTCGCGCTCGGGTGTTGATACAGACCAGCGCCCATCGCCGCACTCTCCTCACGCGAGTGCGGAGGGCGGAAGGCAGGGTGGATATCGTTCGCGATTGGGTCGTAGCCTTCGGGCATTTTCAGTCCAGACAGCGACGACGGCAGCGACGGCGTAGGCGATGACGCGCGCGATGTGGTCGGTGACCATTCGGCCAGGTGGCTTCGCGGCGTATGGGACCGCTCGGTCATCAGATCCTCGGGGCGGCCATAGATGCCTCCACCAAACTCGTCACGGAAGTCTGGACGATCCTTGAAATAGGAAAAGTCGAGATGATTCTCGGGAACAACCTCGAAGGGTGCCGACGGGGCGGCGTCCCTGGCCTTGCCCGGTTGCGTGGTCGACATGGGATCCATTGCAATGTCCGAGTATTCTCCTTGGACGTCCGAGGAGCCGAGTCGTCCGCGATAGATTTGTTTGAGCGCTTCGGCAGCCTTGGCGTGCACCATCGGGGTGATCAGAGGCTTGTATAGTGCGGGATGGCCGAACTTGGAGCTGAGCCGGTCAGACGCCTTCTTGCCTGACTTGCCGACAGCGAACGCCTCCGCATCGGTCAGGTTGGCCCGGTTGTAGTATTTGATGTCGTCGTCGAATTTCTTCATGCAGTAGAACTTGAATGCCAGCATCAGGAACGGCAGCGGAACCACACAGTAGACCATGGTCCAGGTACCCTTGGTCTTGGCCACCAGCGCAATGATTACATTGGCGAAGATGGTCGCAAAGACTAGACGGTTGAACAGGGCGCGCCAGAACCTGCCGCCCGATTCTGTCTTCGTCACGAACACATAGAGCAACAGATACTTCTTCAACATCGCATCCAATCCGAAATACAACGCAGTGACGGGAAGTACGATGGGCTGGAGCGTCGCGAAACACAACGCAACGGTCGAATAGAAGAGAAAGTAATTGTAGTAGCTCGCATAATCAAACGGCGGGGGCGCGGTCCATTCAATGGCCTGCCGGGGCGTGGGCGCCAGGAAGGTCTTGGAGAACCAAACCCAGAACAGGGTGACCAGCTGCACGAGGTCGATCGCCGCTCCGAGATTGCGCTGCAGCAGCCAGGTCACCCAGAAGGGAGACACTTGGCACAAGGCGCTCATGATCTTTTGGTAGAAAGCACCATCCTGAATCGCTTGCCAGGCGTTCTCGTCGTTTTTCTTCGCATCGACGACAGCGGCCACAAATGTCCACGCGGCCGAGAAGAGCGAGAAGACGATGAGGTTGTTGAAGACGAAGAACGAGTACAGATGACTCAGGACGTGGCGTTCTCGCGAGGTTTTGGTCACGTCACCCGCCTTGATGGACAAGCGACGGAAGATGATCGGTAGAAGGAGGTAAACCAGGGAAGTGATCGCCGGTGAGAGGATACCCTGGACCGCGGCCCAGGCTTCCGGGTTCGCATTAAGCGACGTCTGAAAAGCAGGCCAGACCAGACCCAGGTTGGACAAGTTGGACAGGAAGATGGCGATCATCGCGTTAGGAGCGATCCATACAACGGTCAACAAAGTAGTCCAGATGAAGTTCATGAACCGTTTCCACTTTCGTGCCTGCTTGGACAAGGGCAAATTCTCCCAGATGAGATCGTTCGGGCGAGGTGCCAGCTTGATCGTGGTTCCCTTGGGGTGTTTCTTTCGCGCGGTATAGGCGACGGCATGGGCATGCTCGATCATATCCCAGCTGACAAAACCGAATGGCATGGCGTTGCGCTTGTCGATGGAGGCGCGAACGTGACGGATCTCTTCCTCCAGACGCTGGATGCGGTCGGTGAGGTAATCAATGGCATCTACCTTGCAATCCGGATGATTGCCTCTTTGCTTCTTGGAAGGTTGCATCATTGGTCGCTTGGCAGGTAGCTGGTCGGGCCGCTTAAAATATTTCGCCAGGACGGACTCCAGTTGCCGCACGGTTTCCTCATGCTCCTTGATCAACACGGGGAGATCCTTGACATTTCGGCCGATGGAGGCCCGGGGGAGAGCAGCCGTGGGGTTGAATTCATCCACAAGGCGCATAAGGGCTTCGTCCGAACGTGCCTCATTGGGAATATCCGTAATCTACAACGGTCAGTCATCGATGTAAAACCAGCTGCTTGGTGGGGCGTAACACACCATCAAGGTTCGAGCATGCAGACTGCGCTGATAGTCAGAGCTCTGGAAATACTTTCTGCGCAAAGCTGTTACGGCCTTGTAGTTCCTCCAAAGAAAGTAAGCAATGATGATGTCGAAGGCCCAGGCACAAATGACTTGACTCCAAATCGCCTCCGTTGTGACATAAAGCGGGGTCATGGTCGCAAACGCCGACAACGATGAGATGCCAGAGCCGTTGCTCTTGGTGATGTTCACCGGAATCATCACGCCGCATCCGATGATACTCAAAATGATGAAGATATTGCGGCACATCTTGGTGAAGCGCAAGAAGACGGTGGCATCGAGGCCGATGCATTCCACCAGCTCGTCCTCTCGCGTGCGCAGAACGGGTCTCATCCAGGCGAAGAAGCCCTTGCCCACTGGGGGCGGCGTATGTCTGCGATCCGCATGTTTGACTTTGGGCGCATATACAAGGGTGTGACGAGGACGAAAGAGGGAGAAGAGGAGAGCGAGGAGGATGGAGATACCGGCGGAGGCGCCTAGCGAAGCCCACACGGCGTTGACTTGGAACTATCGGGCATGATTTAGCGATTGCAGAATCGAGATGGATTTGGAGGACTTACAGCCGATTTGAAAGGGTCCTGAATAAGCTTGAGAAACTGATCAGCGCCCGACGGATCGTCACGCTGTCGCAGAGCGAAGTGGTCCATAGTATCTAGAATCTACTGCGGCATGGGACGAGAGAGCGGGCGGTGAGGGTTTCACCAGAGGATTTAGAGGACAGAAGGTATATGGCAGAAACGAATGACTATATGATAGAAAAAGGAAAATGCATGGCACGTAAAAGAGACAGAAAAGAGTCAGGAAAGAGAAGATAAAAAAGATTGAAATGGACGGATAATGACTAGGAATGGCGCGGAGAGCAACGCAAGACGGCAACAAGAGGACAAGACCGCCCGCCCGCATGTGGGCTCGGTGGAGGCGGGTCTGGGAACAGGGATTAGTCTATCTACAGGTTAAACATCAATGGAAGGATTCATGGCTGATGCATGTCTAGGATGGTAAACTATAGATACAAAGCAGATACGGTTTACCATGGAGATGCGTTGGAGATAACTGATTGCTGAGATATCTGCTGATCTATACACAGTATTCAGCCCATCAACTGACCTTTTGGCGTATACTCGTGATTTTTGTCTATATCCATCGGTACCTGATGACTGTACGTAATCAGATTCTTTCCCTGGTAGATGAACAGTCGGTAGCTGGTACATTCTATTATCACTCAGATTGAGCTGCGCAACCTTGGTTACATCAGCCATGCTGCCCCCAACCCACCGGAACATTTCATGTTTATTCAACCCAGTGTGTTCCTTTGACAAAAATACAGAAGGCGGATGGAAGAGGCAAACCCAAAGGGAAGAATGATGGAACAAAAACGATGCCACTCCACAGTCAATGATCGACCGCTGTCATTGGACACTATTGGACTTTTAGCCGACTGCTATTTTCGCCCACGAATCACCGTTTGCCACTAGCGTCGAGTCTGGAACATTACCTCTTGGGTGGTAATATTCTCTCACACAAAGTATGAGTGTTGAGCAATTCTGAGACAACTAGAAAGGTCCGGTGGAGTCATCCATCCACACACAGCCCTACACAGGGTTTGATTGGTACCCATCCTCAAGTTGTCCAGGTAAGGTAAGTTGGCACTATTTTATCGCCTTCTCAGAAGTACACAGGGTCTGCAGGTCGATACACTACGGTAAGGTAGTGTACAAGAATAGCACAGGAACGGAAACTACCTAAGTAACGGTCTCCGTCTTGGTTAGCGTTGGCATGCAATAGTCGGACCTGCTGCTCTACTAATGCCTTAGAGCGATTCTTTCTCGGTCTCCTCCGAGATTAGCGTGGTACAGAGTAGACTAATTAAGCCCTGCATCGAGTTTGGTGTCACCG